ACAATACCAATGTATTAAAATAAATAAATGATTCCGAAATGCGGTTACCGTAATCGTATCGCGGATTAATATTATACGATTTCGACGAAAAGATACATGCTTATGGCATGGACAACATCTAATAGTCATCCACTTCCTTACGCTGAAGGATGCTATCTAATTAACCTTTTTTATAGTGAAAAAACTTTCGAATCATAGACAACACTACTTCTGTATATTTTAAAATGCAGCCATATCACAGACAAAAAAGAAAATTTCAATATATATCCCAAAGCATCAATAAATAGAAAGTTCAACAAGGAAACAAGAACAAGAATGAAAAGCCCAACATAAATATTCATAGAAATCTTTTCATTTGTCGAAGAAAACTGGTGAGAAATGGCTATTGATGATGAAATCGCCTGGCTGTAACAGCACAACGGTGACATATGATACACGCATTAGTATTCAACACTCCCATCGTGCCTTGCCGAGACGGTGGAAACCGATTTCTGATGGACCACAACGAGGACAGCTGAAAAAGGCGGACGTCAGAATGGGAACTCAAACAGTTGGTTTACGGACTACTTGCACTTTCGTCCATGGTCCTGCCACGAATGGCGGAGAGCACAGACGATCAGAGAATGGCGCCTGGCTCGGCTCCAAATCCCAAGGAGGGAGGTGAGAGCCTTAGGACTAAGCCTTGTAAGGGGGAGGGAATCCGAGGTGGGTGAGCCAGTTGCATTGTGGCAAAAGTTTGAATGTGTGAGATCGCAGTGGTGATCAGCCGCTGATAAGATGAGAGAGCGCAGACGAAAGCGTCGAGTGAGGCAGCTTAAAGGGCCGAGTTCAAGTAGTCCGTCGACCTGTAGAAGCCAGCATCACGAGCACGTCAAAGATATCCAAATAATAGCGAGATAAAACTCTGGAGCGTACCCTACCCTTCCCTCGGGCTGGGGGAACAAGGAATGATTCATTTTATTTGCTTTCAAAAACACAATTCCTTACTTTCCGCTTATGTTTACTTTTGCACACACACATACGTTACGAATTAATTCTCACGGCGATTTTGTGGGGGGAAAACAGTAAAAATTTAAAGAGATTCTTTGTTCCCCTAGTTTGGAGGGGGGAGGAGGATATGATACGATTTTGGATACGCTGTAAAAGAGCCGTGCAATCATGTATAAAGCTCAGGAAGGGCGAGCCCAGTGGAGAAAAGGTGAGGCCGTCAGAGGTAAGCAGTAAGGAGGAAATATAGCCGTAATGATGAATAACAGAAGAGGAATTTGAACGGTAAAAATGTGGAAAATGAACAATGAAAAATTTGCGAATTGGTGAAGAAGAAGAAACAAAACAATATTAAAACGGATATTCTCAAAAAAAAACCAACCAACCTTCAAGAATTGGCCGTGATTGCCCCTTTCTCAACCAAATCGGGTATCTCCACCGCCAACCAAGGGCCCAATCCCAAAGAAAATGCATGCGCAATTCCAAACTTTGGCACATTCCTAGCCCACAATGGTTTGAAGTGATTGTAGCAAATCTTCCCTCCTCTGTACATCTGAAAACAACCTTGTCACCTCATCTTTTGAACTATATAAAAAAACATGAAAGGAAAGATACTGATAAAAAATGAAGAAAACTTCGTAGGAATGTATGTTGCAAGCATTTTCATTTTGCTCTCCCCCTCCTCCTTTATGCTCATGCTTTCTATTCGAAGAAAGGGAGCTTCAGCTGGATCATGGGTACTTCTACTCCGCTCGGCAAGAAGTACCCATGGTCCAGCTAAAGCTCCCTTTCTTCGAAAGCTCAACCAAGAAATATCGCACAAATTAAAAAAAACATACATTATTATCCCCAAAGCGCTATCATATTCCACGAGCTGTTACGTACTAACCATCCCAACCCTTCGCGGTATTCTGCTGCACACTAGAGCGTTAGTCAGCAGGAAGAATTTGCATAACGATCCATTATAAATTAATGCACCGCTAGATTAGCAGGCCGTCGCAATAAATTTGTCAACACCGAGTCAACAGCTGCAACGTTTTCTGTAGCTATTGCATTCGCTACAGTTAAAGAACCATGGACGCAACAATCGCATAATGAAATCTCAGAAATGCTGCTCTTCACATCGGCCAATTTGCTATACACATTGAGCAGTGTTTAGCATCCGAGAATGATCTGTCATTGCGATTGCTGCTCAGTATTTCAAAATTGTCGACTTTACCATGTTGAGACCGCGCAAGTTCTACGTTTTGCGACCGCTTGGAACTTGTGGAACTTCAAATGGAATGGATTTTTGAGAATTCCAGCAAGCAAATTGGAACCAAAACCCATTGAATGAATCAGAAGAAATCATGAATTGGAAAGAAAAAACAGAAAAACATCAAACTTGTTTCCAAAATATTTGTGAAGTCCCAAACGGTTAACAAAGTGCAACTTGGATATGGGTTGTGTGGGCTCCATGGTTTAAAACAAAAGAAATCTGCTCCTGCGATATGGCCGAATTTTACAAAAATTGTTGTTCTTATGGTTAGTCTACCATTCGCGCTCCGAGGATGGTTCCCACTCGTTCTTCAGTACTTATCTTATTACTTTCACAGGACAAATAAATAATTGGTCACACACATGAAAACGAAAAAATGATGATGAAACCAATATTCAAATGATATGAATCAAATATTACTATTTAAAGGTCACTTTTCCAGGAATGAGCCCACCTTTGCAGTCTTTCCATCAAGTTCGGGCAAGTGCTATCTCAGGTGCTGTTACCGGATAAGTAATCGGAATGTCAAATTCTACATCAAACTCGTACCTGAAATAATTGAAAATATTATAGACTCATGAGAAGGAGTTTAAAAATCCGAAAGAAATTCGGAACTTAGGTTGTATAATGAAATCACACCTAGGACTCATGAAGACAGGAGGAGTGGACTAGGGTTCTAGCAGCAGATATAAGATTTTACGCTGAGAAATCGGAACGATCACCTTCTCTCCTATCAAACCACACTCGAAAAATAAGGCAAGGAGGGGTTGATAACCTGCAGAAATGCTCAGTGGGCCTCTTTTCCGCGAAAAGAATATCTGCGAATCCAGGCCCCCAATTCTCTGGTCGATAGAAAGCTCAAAGATCAAAGCAGATAATAAAGCAGCATATAGGCAAAGTTTCAATGCGAAGACGAAAAGCAGGGCGGGCGTATGAACTAAAGGATAAAGAAAGGGAGAACGTGCGAGAGCAATGAAACGTCTCTTGATCACAATTTTACGTAAAACTTTGCGGCATAACTTCCACACGTTGGCCGCTTATTTCTGTCAGGAATTTGATAACTTACCGCAACAGGCACTTCGGTCTGCTAGTTCAAAAGAAATTTTGACATTATGTGAGCTCAACTTGACCCCTAGCCCTCAATGGCCGCTGAATAGCCAGCCACCTAAAGTGGGTGTGTGAGGATCATTTCAGAACAAAAAATATTATAGAAAGGATAGATTACTTATTCATGTTGTACGTAATGCCAGCATTTCCCAAACATTTTATCCATGCTGCATTCCATTCGAGTGCGAAACCAATCTTTACGTCAGTTTCTTTGTTAGTTTGAACGAACTTTTATAAATTGATTGGTATCTTCCCTGAAAAAAATACCTAGCTCAGAACAATAGCTAACAAAACTTTGTCAGAAATGCCAATAATTGCAATGGCCTACCTATAAGCAATCCAAGCCATTCTTGCATCGGATTTTCGTAGTATTATTTGAAGAAAAAAAAGCAGACACTCGGAGCGGGATGCAACAGCAGTATGTCATTTGTTGCCACCAATGCGCAAGTTTGACGGGAAATGAGGAGATGCTGGGATCGAACCGACCATTCATGGTCGTTGAAGACATTTTTTAAGGTTCTCTACCGCTTTCTTAGTTGCTTACTTTGACGTGAACCTTACGTATAACAAGGCGCCTTTCTGGCTCCTTGATTTACTCAACTTCCAGCGGCTATTCTATGATACATGACTGCGCGACAACACATTTCTGTACAGCTTAGTATTGACTAACTCTTGGTATTTCTGATGATGAAAGGTGCGTTACGGCAGGCGCGAGTCTACCTAAGCAGTCGCGCGCAGAAAAGCACATATTTGTGCTCTTCTAGGACTAAGCCTTTTGAAGGAAGGAAAGAAAACGAGGTTTGCAATAGTGCACATATGCAAGAATGCCCAGAGATTACTAAGGAACGCTGAATCACCAAGCTCCCGGTTTGCCGCTGCCCTTGGACGGAAAAGGTAGGGCGCCGGTCAACTTAGGGAGGAAGGAGGGTCCATCCTTATGCGGTGAGCCCAAGTACGCCCATCATTCGCACTTCTGGGCTCCCAAGGATAAGCCTAAGGCCGATGTCAGACTTTGCGAATCGCGCGAATCGCTGGTAGCGAATCGCGCGATTTGCAAAGTCTGACATCGGCCTAAGGGGGACAAGGGAAACTAGGAGAGGGAGGAGGAGGAGGGGTTGAAAGGAATTCTCATTTTTCTCAAAGTTCATCCTCTCCTCTTAAGCTAACAAAAAAAACGATGTCCCTCCCTAAGTACACTAACGCCAGAAGCAAAGACACATTGGAATTCTAGACTTTCCTAGCTTCACCTTCTGATTTCTAAACTTGCACTTGAATAAGTTCTAAAATACGCTGGCGTTGGTACGGTAAACTAACGGTATCAATGAATGATATTCGTACCTTCAATCGCTCAATCCACAAATCTCCGTCTCGCGGTCCAGCTTTCGTCTTACATAGTGGAATTGCTTTTAATCGAGATTTCGTGGAGTCATCCATTAAGTTCCGTACCCTCTAAACTTTGTAAGAATTGAAATAAAAGTTGCCAATAATAGTAGCTAGGATACAGAAAAAAAGACAATGATATCAAAATAACACCGATCACACTCAGATAACGTTTTAATTACAAAAATCTTTGAAAAACCCAACGCCTGCGTGTTGTCAAAACGTGTGCAATTTCTCGTCCATCCACAGCAGAACTACGGCAATTTCAACTCACTACCGTAATCGAGGTCTACGAGCCTTATTTTAGAATTCCGTTTTGTATTTCGTGTGGATTTTGGAAGTCAAAGAGTGTGCTGTAAAAGGTGATTAGCCATTACGCATAATTATGGAAAATTATTTCTCCTAACACTTCGATTCATTAGGTGAATCGTCTGTGACCATAGCCACTTTCACCTCGCGGGACGTGAATTGTTCAAACGCTTATCGCTTTTCAAAATTGGTCTAGACCGATGGTTTTTCGGTTTTACGTTATCTGTATAGATTGCTTGGGAGCTGAGGATTTTCCCAGGTGTTCATGTCAAGAAAAGGAGAAATATGAAAAAGCTTAACATTCGCCTTATCGTTATTGCTCAGTGGAGTGCATTTACAAATTCTGGCGCTTATGGCGGCCGATGGGAGGGGGGGCGATCTGTTAGAAAGGCAAAGGCTTAATCCTGAAAAACTGAGTTCTTCCGTGATTCTTTATGCGATGTTCACGTGAGGTGCCACCCCTCCCCGAGCCAGGTGCGCAAATTCTGTTGAGGTGCTTGCAACGATGGCTTTTTCTTAGCTATGCTTCTATAAAGTTGGGAGTTTAGATCACTATAAGAGGAAAATCCAATAATATATATAAGAGAGTAATAGCACATGTAACGATGGTCCGTGCTAAGTGAGTTGGGAGGGGGACCACGCGGCGGCGCCATTTTTTTTACAACGATGGGACTAAGCCTGAGCCTATGAAGGAGTGGGTAAGCTGTGAACGTTATGATTTGTGATTGACTTTTGGCACATTTGAGCTCCTTCTTGGCTCAGGCTCTGTACCATTTGACAGACGTCGCGTTCCCCCCCCCCAACTCATTTAGCACCCGATGGCCTCAAAATTGGGAAGAGATATTGCGCGAGCTTCTTGATGTTCTTGATGCAATCTGTTTTCACAGGTGGTGCAAAGTCCGTAGTTACGACATAGCTCTCCGTGGGGAACGGAAAAAGTAGACTTCCTGTCTCTGGTATGAATATCATGTTGTGAAAGTATGTGTACAATCGGGACTTGGCGGGTTTCGCTGTAGTCGTTGTCTGGAGCTATTTGAGGCTGAAAAACTTGTATGTTAAACTTTCAATTTTCAGCTTCTCCGAGCGGTCTGAGGTCGACGAAAGCTACTTTGGGGATTGCCATAGAACAACATGGCGACGGTGAGAATTCTCTCTAGAAAAAGCGGGCATGATGAAAGCGTAGACGGAGTCCCTGAATCAGTGGGAGAACCAGCAGGAGATGCGCACTGGCCTCGGTCGACTCACATACTTTGCAGTTCGAGTGTGGGGTGGATATGTATCGATCTTGCGATCGTACTGCAAAGCTCGGACTCGGCCCTCAGGGGTTTCACCTTAAGCGTATCACCATATTTAAGCTGGAAACGTTATAAGGATTCTTTAGGATATGAACATCGAGGACGATTTGTTCTTCGTCCATGATGATGAGTTAGAGGAGGACACTAAGAAAGAAGAAGAGGAAACCTCCCAGAGACCTCCTCCTGCCAACGACACTCTTGTCGATAATATCGGAAAAACAACTGAAGAACATGAAGACATCCTCCGAATTCTTGTAGCCAGCGATATCCATGTGGGCTACGGGGAGAACAAACCGAATCTGTAAGTATTGCTTACTTTTAAAGTTGATTGGAAGTCGAAGATTGAGAGTATTCTGGAAGAAGAAATTTGAAGAATTCTTCAAGGTATCTCGACTCGGTCAACACATTCGAAGAAGTATTGAAAATTGCAACAGAAAAGAAGGTGGATATGGTCCTCTTAGGTGCGTAAATTATTTTTTCTATTCGTTTTCCTTTGCTGACTTTATGCTACTGTTGGGCTGATTAGCATCACACATCAAAATAGGTATTGATTTTGCGCGCCTTCAATACTCGTCGTCTGTACGCACTAACGATAAGTGTTGATTTCTAAACTTTAAGGTGGTGATTTGTTCCATGAAAATAACCCCTCGCGTGATATGCAGCATCGTGTTATTCAACTGCTACGTCAGTACTGCCTGAATGACAGAGAGGTACGGTGTTTTCGGATTTTCATTCGATCTGCGGGTCTATCCCAGTAAAATGGGGGGGACGGGTCGACGGACTCCTTGAACTCGGTCCTTCAAGCCGCCTCAATCCGACGCTCTCGTAGACCGAGACCTGTGATCAACACTATTCAAAATGTTGGGCCACGACTGTAGTTGTCTCATTCTACGCTGGGAGATTCCTCATCCTCGAAGTCTAGAACCAGGCGCCGTTCTCTAACTGTCTGTGCTCTCCGCCATTCGCGGCAGGACCATAGAGGAAAGTTCAAGTAACCCGTAAACCGGGGGAAGTACTAATCGTCTGTGCTCTAGCCATACGGGCAGGACCATTGAGGAAAAATCAAGTAATCCGTAAACTTGCTTAAACTGGTATTATTATAGGCGGCACGTACTTTTGCAATATACGCCCCTCCCCATTATTGGTATAGACTCCCATTTTCATTCACTGTATTTTTCACTATCTTTTGATTTTGAAGGTGGCACTGGAAGTTCGTTTCTGATGCTTCAGTGAACTTCGAGCATAGCCGCTTCGATCGAGTGAATTACGAGGTCGGTTATATTTGGGTATGGGTTGTCATAAAAGGATACGACGTTGCTCCTCTTCGAGTTTACCGTTTTTGCTCCGGGATAACGGTGCAGGATCCTGCAGCGAAAACATCCGTAGCTTGACTGTGTGGCCCATTTGACGGGCACTTTCATAGTTGGTCGCCCTATCGTGAAGATCGTATCGATCGATCGGGCGACCGACTATGAACGCGCCCACTGAGGCGGCTTACTCACATGGCAAGTGCGGTCGGTCAGGTCATTCACAACATTTTGAGGGGTTTGGGACTCAGAGAGCGACTAGCGAAATATCCCAAAACCTGCAGTCGCGCTTCTGTAGTGTAATTACTTTTCGCTACGTAGTAGTGAAGGGATGTTGAGGTCATGACTTGCTTTGAATCTTGTTCAGGATGCCAACATAAATGTGGGCCTGCCGATTTTCACTATTCATGGAAATCATGACGACACAGCTGGGAAGGTAGGTTATACCTGGTTATTATGGGTGGACATTATTGGGCTTACTTTAGCAACATTCGTGGCTAAAATTCGAAGTATTTAGGGTCTGACGATTCTGGACGTATTGCATGAAGCTGGCTTAGTCAACCTATTCGGAAAATTTTCAGATATTGATCAATTTGATGTAAGTTTCATCACTTCGATGGTGGATGGTGTTTTGGATGTTACGAGCCTGCTTAAGAACTTTATTGTGAGAGTTGCTTGGAGTAGGAAGAGGCTCACAAAGATGCCGCGCAAATTTGGTCGTCCGGCATGCGCGAAGACTGGCTCGGGCGTTCGCTCAGCCTAAACGCGGTGAATATGCAGACACGGGGCAAAGGCTCGTTTGGCAGGCGACGTAGCGAAGGGGGAAAACCCGCTTGGCTTGGTTCGCCGCGCAGGCACACGTAAAGGAGTAACGCATTTAGTTTCGCGCGGCGTAACTTTCTGGACACTGAAGTTTTGATGGTGATCAATTCCTACAGGTCAGTCCTATCCTCCTAAGGAAAGGCACAACACGTGTGGCACTGTTTGGATAGGGAGTCAGAGAGATGATCGCCTCTGCAGAGCGTTTGCGGGTATGCGATCATAGTACATAATCCAAGCCTTCCAGTAACCTTTCCCTAATGAAGGTGTTCAGGACATACCATACGGTTTCTTCGACCTCGATGCTGGATACGACGATTGGTTCAACATCTTGGTCCTGCACCAAAATCGCCCAAAAAGGTTTGTTTGGTATTTTTCACATCAATGATGGATATATTGCTAATTGTAATAGAGATCTTTGTTTCCAAAATGCTATTGTGACTACCATGAGCTGTAAAGGTCGACGCTTCGCTCTACTGGCGCTTACCTTCCTGAGCAGTATATCCCAACGTTCTTCGACCTTGTTCTTTGGGGACACGAGCACGAGTGCAAGCCACGTGAGTTTTCCTTTTTTAGAGTCTAAAGGCACGGGTCGCGATCAAAACTTGAGAAAAATTTCCTCTTTGTGTAGGGTAGCAGGACTCCCAACCATTTTAGTGTATTTACTGCCGCAATCTTGAAATGCGCTGGGAGGGGGATAACGTCGCCGCTTTACCCGCTGCCATTGTTTATCATTCTACGAAAATACGCTCATGCCTTCATCCGCGCGCGCGACTTGTTCCCTCGTGTTTTCCCCTCCTTTGCGTCATGACTTCCCATCGTCTCACGGTCGACCTCGCAAGAAAAATTTCTGTTTTCTTTTGTACAGTTCTAACTTCAAGATTCACTAGATGTTAAAAGCTGCACCTTTTCTTTCAGCAGTTTAATACTTTTAATTACGTTCAGATTGTCAAATACTGGCGTCTTCCGATGCAGCCGGTGATCTGGTTTTACATTTTATTACGAACCAGGTTCAACAATCGCTACCTCACTAACAAGGGAGGAAGCACTGCAAAAGAACGTTTTTCTGATCAAGGTTTTTCGATCTTTTCTCTTGTGCAAGTTTTAATGGGTCATGTGGCCTTCGGCTGTGGCAACTGCTCCAGTTTTAAGAAAGAAATTCTCAAAGAAAAAATGAAGTGGTAAAAAAAGACATACTGTGAGCAATAAAGTAAGCTTTTTCAGGTCAAAGGAAGGAAATTTCAATGCAAACCTATTCCACTGCAAACAGTTCGCCCTATGGTAGTTGATGAGATCATACTTGACAGTTTACCAGAAGGAGTACGACTTCCAGCAAATGGTGTGCGACCGTCTGGAGGCGGATTTGTATTGGTAGGAGACTATTCGATTTCCCAATTTTAATTTAAAATTTCAATAGCCCCTTAATTGGTCAGAAGTTTTACTGAGACGAAATATATATTCCAGGATGAAATGATAATAGATGACAAGATTAGTGAAATGATACGGTGGGCCGAAAGTAACCGTGGACCACAGCAACCAAAACTTCCGTTAATCAGATTGAAAGTTACCTATGCTGGACCTTGGGCAATTATGCAGGTAAGAATTCCTTTCTCTTAATTGATACCATGTTCCGAATATTGCTGTTTAGCCTATTCATGGCCGTCAAATTGGAGCCAAGTTTGAGGATCGGGCAGCAAATGCTGCGGAGATGGTGGTAACAAGGAGGGTAAGGTTTACTGTGGTGTTTCATTCAAAGTAGTTGTTAACTTGCTTACAAGCGCATGTAATGTATAGCAATGTGGATACGTGATTTACTATTTAAGGTGATCGAGAAAAAGAAGAAGAAAGGAGGTGTAAGTATGGAAGAGGACCAGGGCGATATTATTGATGCCGCATGCCTTGATCAAGTGGTAGGTTTTCTCAGAATTCAGTGATAGCAATTGTGTTTTCTACTACTTCTATCTAGGCTGCTTCCACTGCATAGGCCTACCCTTACCCTGTGTACTTCGGTCGAATATCGGATATCTTTGATATAAACTTTGTGCGGATATCAATTGTCTAGACATTTATTTGACGCCCCTAAAATCGATATCCGTTCATTTTTTCCGTGAACAGGATAGTCTGGTGCGTGAAAGCAGCCTGAGAGAGTTTCTTAGCAATTACAGCATTATATTCTAGATATCTGAACATTTCAATAAACAACCGTGGGAGGAACGTCTGACCGTATTCACCCATCCCATAATTGGAAAAGCATTGGCAGCATTTGATGACGAAGAAAAAACCAACACAGCGAAAGCGAACCAAGAGTTCCGAACTGCTTTGGAGGTCTGTTTGTGGCACAATTCAGCAGTTCTCAGTTTCCAAAACCTTTGCTGATTTTTATTTCCATTGCCAGGACACCTTCCACACATTACTATTCTACTTTAAAGGACGAATTCACGATTAGAATGAAAGTCGAAGAAGGAGTAATTCACCTAGTTGAGGGACCCGCGGACCTCCTAAGGGTGCGGACTGAAGCGCAATTGGCACCGAAGGAGTTGACCTCGGCGACCTATTAAGGCTCAATCTTGGCGCGGTGGGTCAGTGCACGCCCACCAACCAGCTGATCGCTCGCCGTAGGTCTATGCATGGCGATTGAATCAGTAGCGGAGGGGGGGGGGGGGTAGCGGAGAGAGCGCAGTGTTGAAGAGGGCACAGCGATGAGAGTCGCATCAATGCTCGAATCAACGGGCAAGGAAGGGGTACCATTTCTCGGGTTCTGGGCCGTTTCTCATGGTTCTTCCTTCTTTCGTGTACCACTCACCATCCCTAGGTTAATTTGAAATGGGTTGCTTTTTCATCGTGAATTCGTCCTTTAAACATGACGCCAGCCTAATTATCACATTTTTTTTTGCCCGCTTGGCTTCTAGTAGGCTTCGATCGGGAAATATTCGACTTTTGTTCTGGGAACTGAACTAGCATCTAATCTCTGGCAATGGAATAGTGATGAGAACTGAGAGTGCCATTTTGTTCTATTGGGTGGGATATCGGGATTTGATTCTTGGGCAGGTCTCTTGTTAAGCGGCGCCATTTGCCCTGTACACGGCCTCGGTCCAACCGTCAGCATTTTTTATATTGCCAGAAGCACGAGTCGGCTTCTTTGCGACTGTATTGCGCCTACGTGGTCAACACCTTGCATAATGACAAATCAACCACCTGTTCTTGATTTAAGGCAGCACGTGATTTCATGATGTCCAAGCTGAAAGCAGATGCCGGCTCCGGAAATAGAGTTTGATGTGAGTTATCTAAATTACTTACCGGTACCCAGGGGAGCTGAAAAAGTTTGGTGTTCCAGAAGTTCGGCAATCTGAAATCCGACAATTTTGAAATGATGGTTCGAAATGATCTCAATGTTCTCAAGCGTCAAACCTATGGTATCCAAGGAGGAACTGTGACACGTAGTGATGAGTTTGATGATGAAATGGAAGATGGCGATTGATATTATCATTGTTTTTTACCGGTACCTCTTTACTCCACTGGTTGTTCTGGTTCTTTATTGTAAAATCATGACCTCAATTTCGATTTCATCTGTTGGGCTGAAATTTGCGGGGGGGGGGGGGAGAATTTCGACCGCAAAGGTGGGATGCTCGGGCCTTTATCTCTGAGACGACCACTGCAGTGCCATTAGCCGCTGTAAAAGGCCGCTACCCTTACTGAGTCGTGCAAGGCCCTGGAGTGACTGCTTGAGCTCCTGCCTGCAGAATTCAGGAGCATAGACTAGTTCAGCGATTTGTTGTGCATAGATCTCGAAAACCGGTTTTCAGATGCTCTTATGTTAAAGTGGTTGCTATTCTCAGATTTTTGCAATTTGTTATGTTTTGTTGATCTGAATTGTTTTTAGTAAAGATTATTTTGTTTTCGTTCTCATCAAAATAAATAAGTATGTTATGGATCGGATCCTACTCACGCTAATCAGTGTCAATACACTTGGAAACAAAACTGTCACGACTTGATTGTTTTTAACCTGGGATTTTTGATCACATACAGAGTTGGGCACGACGACGGTGCCAGATGAGTGTCAAGAAGCGTTGCCACGAATTAAGGTGAGTTATTACGAATAGGCAGCCAAAAATAAAGGCTGGAGCTGTCCCCTGTGATTATAAAAATGAGAGACGCGTTCAGAACCGAGAGAAATGGATGCATTCCTCGTTGCAGTTGGTTGTACTGCTGTGCGAGCTATTATTGGGCTGTCCTTCTGCACACTAAACACTCCGTGTTATGAAATGGCTAGCAGACAGACGGCGGAGGGACACAAGATGCGTCCTAGTAGGAGTAGGCCGCTAGGGAAATTCTCTTCGCTGCGGAATGCATATAGATCCGCTCCCTTAGGAGGTGTCTTTTGACTCGTATATTTCCTTCCTTCTGTCTCCTATCTTACTGTGAATTCCTTTGAAGCTTATGAGTGGATATCAAAGTTGTCATAGTAATTTGCTCATGAATCTCTGGTTTATAATTTTATATGGTCCTTTACTTATGTTAGTGAGTGCCTTCATTCCATCCGAAGGGGAATCTAGCAAAATGCCACAACTGACCGATGTTGCTTTGCTGATATCCAAGCAATGTATGTTGGAAGCAGCTCTTCCACATAGTTTCTATCAAGTGCACGTCACTTCCGGTGATACGCCCACCCCAACTCACCAATATGTAGTATAAATATAAGAATGCGAGAATCAGGCCACCTGACTGTGAAGCGAGGTACCATTGAAGAAACTTCCTCCTCAGCTTCGGTGATTACGGCAGCAGCATATACTCTGGGAGTGGGTGATAGAGGATAAAGGACACAGCAGGGTGAATATCGGTCGAGGATTCCTTAAGCGGCTTGTCGAGGATTTTCGCCCGATCACCCACACCCCTCGCGCGGACATTCACACTCGCCTGCGCGAGCCGACTGTGCTCTCCGCGCCTACGTTCACTATCGGCACTACTCTCGCACAGCACAGAGCCATGGTCGAGGAATTCCTCGACTGATATTCACCCTGGGACACAGCATTCGAATCAATCAATCCCCTCTTGGGATCGGCACGCATTCTAGCCCTTTTCACATTCGTAGTGGCATTTGAATGCGATGTGGCCTATACAATGACTTGCGGGGGCCAGCCGATGTACAAGTCAGTGTTTTTATCCTCCCAGACAATCTGGTACCAGGTGACCTATCCGAAGAGATACACGGCTCGGGCGGCATAGATAGACGGCGTAGGATACGCACTCGATTCCAGGGTAAATATTGGTCGAGAAAATCCTCGACGGGGGTCGTATTTGTCAGGGTGGGTCATGGGGGGTCGTACTCGTGGGGTCAGTGGCATCGTGGTGCAGATAGGAGTAAGAGGGTGTAGCGCAGCAGAAAACGAAGGATATGTGAGAAAACATGATATAAAATATTCTTTGCAGGTTCAGTCGCTCCATTCCTCTACCTTTATGAAATTTGAAAGCAGTACAAAGAATGAAAGTGCATCTCTGCAAGGAACGGGGCACCTCCCCTCCTACCGCCCGCTCCCTCTCCCTTAATACCTCGCTGAGAATGACACTGTTGTTAGGGACCCTGTCGCAAAAACGACAACCGTGAAGGAAAAGCCCTGGGCAAATGAAGTTGTTCCTTAGGTTGTAGGAGTTACGAAATGTGTTTACTACAATATTTCTGTCAAAAGGTCATCATCATATATGGCACCTTACAATCGACTCCACAACTTTGATTGGAGGTATGGCCTATACTGAGACGAAATCGGACGATGACGATTGCCCTTTTCTTATCGCTTATGTTGGGAAGAATGTATTCTAGACACATTTCGAGAGTTGCCAACGAAACTTGCAATGGTGAAGAAGGAAGCGGACTTTTTGAGTGGTCAAAAATCATCCTCGATAGATCCTCGACGTAGATATCTCCTCGACTAAGAAGTAAGCTACATAGACATTTAGAAAGCCTTCTGCTTATCGAAAGTGCCTTCCTTTTTTCACCTTGGCAATATCTCTCCAATGGCAAAAACTGGCAAGTGGCAAAAACTCGCATGAAAACTTCAGCGTCCTCGATGCTGACTCGACAAAATTTGAGAGACCCTATCTCTTCAAGTGAAGGCTTTTGAGCAATTTCAATACTTGTTGGAAACGCGAAATCCAGCTCTATCTAACCCTACCACATACTGCTTCAAAGGTTATGAAATGGGGGAATGGTACCTTTTCAACGAGGGTGTAGATTTCTGTGGTTTTCGGGGCTCTCCAGCAAATCTGACCCAGTGATAAACCGCGCGCAACTGCTGATGAGTGTGCAATTAAAATAGATGCGGTGCAAATTAAAGTTAGGGGGATCGTACAAAGGCCCTGGTTCTAGGGGGAGGGTCGTACTGCTAAGACCACGTCCTCGACACGATCTTCACCCTGCTTGATTCCCGTACTCTGCACCTGGTAAATAGCGCGTCATGTGGTTTAAGAAACAAAGAAGCTCCTGAGTTTTCAAGTTTCAACTTTGCGGTTTTATGCAAACTTGCATTCATATATAACGCACTTCTGCAAGTTTCGCGAATAGATCGTGGAATGCGGGAAATTATGTGAAGGTGGGATGGTATTATTACAAAGAGCAGTGCATATGACTCTCGAAACAGCAAATTCCCCGCTTTTCATACATTCTTATCGAACTCATCCACTTTGCGTAACAATTTTCCACACCCTAGTAAAGCACCTATTGCTGGCTCTTGTTCTTTTCCCTAGCGTTAGTCCCGTGCAGTCGCAGGGTCCGCTGTCTTTATCAGACGTCGCCACTTCGCTCTGTCTAAGGCCGATGTCAGACTTTGCGAATCGCGCGATTCGCTACTAGCGATTCGCTAGCGTCCGCGGTCGCGTTGCGGTACCAGCCAATTGAGTGATTCACTGGCCGCGACGCGACCGCAGACGCTAGCGAATCGCGCGATTCGCAAAGTCTGACATCGGCCTAAGGCATCTTCTGTGCAGCGGGACATTTCACTTCCTTGATTACGTCCCTCCACCTCTTCTTTAAAGCCACGAGTCAGGATTAGGTAACCCTAGAAGGCCTTTCCATCACTAATATTTCCAGGAATGCGCTCAGAGGGGTGATGCCACACTCCTGACTCGAGATTGCGCGCCGTCAAGGCTTCTGGCCTACTACTTACAGCGATGGGTTCGTTACATCAGCTGGTCCCGCCCACCGCGGGATGTGGTGCGTGGCTGGCCTAACGTGTGAGATCAGCTAGGTTGATTGCCGTATCAACCGATGGAACGGCTGGCATATCCGGAAAACTCGTTTGGACGTGGCTCTCCCCCGAGCAAGCCTCCTTCACTGCTAGAAGGGAAGGGGTTTCGATTTCGGTCTTGTCGACGGTTTCTTTGCGTTTTTTCTTCACTGTCGTTCCACCTCCCATCTCTACACTCAATTTCAGGCGCCATAATGCCCAAACACGAGCCTGACTTTTGCCTTTAAAGGCACCTCGGCCGCATGCCTTGCGCTTTGAAGTCCATTGCTTTCCTTATTGGATGTATTGCTGGCTGACCCATTCCAAACATCACAAGTAAGAACCCTCTCTCGAATATTGAATACAAATGCGACCCCCTCGTTGATTGTAACAACTGTGACCGTGGCTAGAACCACATTTTGAGCACCCGGACAGGTCTGGTACCGTGTGCAAGGCGCTGAAAGTGCAGCAAGGTCATTTTGATGGCCTCCACAGCACTATTTTCTCATCGTCAAAATTAAAGTGGATATTTGGTTGTTCGCTAACCCTGAAAAAAGTAACCTAACATAGAGGTGCACGGAAAGCGGCCCAAGGGGCGCCCGAAACAGCGCTGGCTCGATACGTTGCACGCAGACTTGAAGTTGGTTAACATCCACCCCGACCAAGCATTTAATCGGGAAAAGTGGCGACAGCACATCAGAAAAGCGGACCCCGCCAACAAGCGGGACAAACGCTGAAGAATAAGAAGAAGAAGAAGAAGTTCGTTAAGCCCGTGTTACCCTGCTGAGGTCTGTTTCATCCAGTATTAACATGTAGCGACGCCTGGTGACATGGGTTTTATGTTAGGAATATCGTCATCAGTGTGTTCCATGTCTAGACTCTCCGCCGCCCGAGGCATTGGACTCCGTCCCTCATTTCTCTTCACCATCCTGTTTTTTTTTTGTTTTTGTTTCAGTAATAAAGGTCCGTACAGACCAATGTTGAGACACAACCAGGCTTTGAGTGGCAGAGCCTGAATACAAGCTTGAAGAACATTGGAGTGATCTTGGACCAAACAACTACTTGGGAGCCGAACTTACTCGTTGAGGTGGTTCCTTTGCCAAAAGCCAAGTCCGTCAATTGTGAACAACCTTCTGTAATCAGGTTCCAAAACTCTGCTGACTTTTTTCAGAGTAACTAGACGCAGAATACCTAAATGAAGCGTCTGGCGAGTACGGATATGCGCACGATGACGATCAATTTTGAAATAATCTATCGAAAA